TCATCAAAAGCCGCTGCCCCGCTTCCTCCTCGTCCACCTCCCCCTTCGCTGGTCCCCATTTTAAAAGAATCCTGTGGGTCAGAGGTGGGCGAGGCAATGCGAGGAGGTGATGACTCGCCCGCCCCTTTGTCTATCTTTTCTTCTTTCCTGCTGCTGTTGCTATCCTCCTCCTCTTCCTCCTCCTCCTCCTCCATTGGTTGTTGTTCCTCTTGTCCTGAGGTTTGGTCCACTCCCTTCGTCTCATCCTGTCCACCACTCTTGGAAGATGCATTGGAGCCCCTGGAGGAGTCGGCGAAGTCTCCCAGCCCCATCACCTCGTCAAACACCCTGGACATGTGCTCCTCATGCTGCAGAGGAGAGAGATCATTATTATTTCTCATTTCACATCCATATACAACACAACTTTTGACAGATAAGGGCCAAATATGTTCAGTGGAAACATAAAATACATCCTGGATACAACCCCAAATTGGATAATTAGTTAAGAAACTTGATACACACAATCAAAGATATAATTAAGGCATCAAGTGTCATTTTACTTTAACATAAACCAGTTTTCTGACTAAAAACACATATTCTAGAGATAACCAAACATGTAGCATGACTGGCTGCTGGTGTCTTACTCGAGTTAATGCATTTTTCTGTTATTTCTGCCAATCTTGAATAAAGCACAAAGATGTTTTTATAATTCATTAATCTAAAAACATCTAGCAGGGAGTCAGCTCCCAGAGACTCCCATGGTAAGAAAATAAACTCTTGATTATGACTTTAAAAAAGTATGAATTTCTATACAATAGACAATAAAACATCCAAGCAAATAATCATTTTAAAGAAAAATACAAAAAAATCAACGAAAACCTGCCTAAGATGATAACACAGACACATAGGTCAAAATTAAGACCCAAAAAGCATATGGACACCCAGCGGGACCCTCAGAAAACCTGGCCATGAAATCAAAAGTTATCAGACCCGTGGAGCTGTAGCCCAAATCTGATAATTTGACCTTGTAACTGGGACGAAATGTAAAGCTTGATTTTAAGACTTCGCTGGTTTTGTTGGTAAAGACCATAAGACACTTTACAGCACCCACTGAGCCAGCAACCTCTTGACAGCAGTATCTTACATTCACCACAACCAGTGGCCTCTGTGCGCACACACAGGAGCTTCTGTTGTAGTTTGACTATGCCTCAAAGATCTACCTATTGTATGGAAACACACATCGTCAAGGCAGCATGTCCCATTTTTAACCAAGTGTTATGGGTTTGTGGGAAAAAAAAAAAAAAAACCCTCCCCGCAAAAAAAACCTAAAGAAAACGGCCCGTTTAACCCAAATAAAAAATAACAAAAACAATTTTTCGTAAAAATTTACATTTCAACTTTTTAACTAGAATCAAGAGTAAATCATTATATTCTGGAATGAGGATTATGTTGAGCACACCCTCTGCTGGGCTCCAGGCTGAATTGTGGCACATTTCTGTAAATAACAAAAAATAACAGGAACTGAAATGGCTCCCCTACACTGGCAGAGACGTTTTATCTAATCACTCTTAAAAATGCTACCTTCTCATCACTCTCTCTGTGTGAGCGGAGATGTGACTCTCTGAGGGTTTTCTTGATGTTACTCACAGTTATGGACCTTGTCCTGGTCTTTCTGGGTCTGCCCGAGCATCTTACATTCTCAATAACGAGGCCATCATTTTTGAACTTTCTGATAATATATTGAATTGTGGAGGACGGGACATTGATTTGTTTGCTAATCTGACGAACAGAGTGTCCCAGTGTGTGCAAATAAACAATGCATATTCGTTTCTCTGAGCACACCTCACTCATCTTTACCATAATTTTCTTTTTGTTAAATTGGAGTTGCTGACCAGTTTCATGGTAGTTTATAATGGATGAACAAGGCCAATTAGCACAGAGTATAAACACCTGGCTCTTGCAGAGCAACCACAGGTGAAGATGATCCACTGATGATGGGCCACACAAACAAAACTCGTTCAAATACTTTTTCCAAACTGAGATCATGTTTCTTTTGTTCCTAAAAGAGAAGGAGGGAATGTCTTAACCTTACGTTAAAGGTATTATTTAAAAGCAGTCTTAAATATTCTGAAAATAATAATAATAATAATGGATTGGATTTATATAGCGCTTTTCAAGGCACTCAAAGCGCTTTACAATGCCACTATTCATTCACTCTCACATTCACACACTGGTGGAGGCAAGCTACAGTTGTAATAAGCCTTAACAGCAGCTTTTTTGAAAAAACATTTAACTACAGTAGGGGAGTTTACATCCACTCATCATGGGTGTGACTATCATGGTAATTTGGGGGATATTAATGATTTCTTATTTTTGACAGGGTTGAATAATTGTACAGTATGCATCTTTAATGACTTGAATGAACAAGAACACAAAGTGCACAGGTTTGAATGAATTTTTTTCTTAGATACACATCCACTGAAATGTGTTTAAATGTCGTTTGGCAAGCTGCAGTTCTAGTAGATGCTTTAGGTAGTCATCCACAAGCTTCTGAATAGATATCTGACCTCTCTTCTTAGCAGAATTGGTAGAGTTAATTTAAATGTGCTGATTTGCTGACACAAACTCTGTTTTTTAAGTGTAGTCCACAAATCTCCAAGAGGATTGAGCTCAGGGCTTTGGGAAGGCCATTCCGAAGTTTAATATTAGCCTGTTTTATCAATTCTAAAACCAGTTTTGATATGTTTAGGATTGTTGTCCTGTTGGAGTTTGAGCTGTCTAGCTGTTGAGTTGAGGTGAAGTTGAAAACTTTGGAGATAGTTCTCCTCCTTCATCCACTCTTTATGTAATGGAGAAGTAACTATATAATTAATTGCCCAACATTGGTCATTATATACTGTATTTTGCAGACATAGTTACAGGACTCTCTCCCAGACCACAGACTCATACTCATAATACAAGTCAGAGCTTTATAAAAAAAACAAAAAAACAACAAAGTTGTGTTTTCAAAATTGGAGTTCAAGTTATTTTTACTTACTTTTTACTTCCAATAGTGTTAACATACTACACAGGTCATGAACAAGATTTTTTTTTAAATTTTCATTGTAAGTGGGCTAAAGCACTTAATTAAAAGTAGTCTAACAAATGCTGTAATTTGATTATTTTGATAAATCATGTAACTTGGATGGATTCGATGCTGGCGTAACCACAGTGCACACGTCTACTGTTGCTCACAGTGGTCCAAGGGACCGCTCAGGGAGTTTGTGTGTTCACTCAGACACGTGAAAAATTAGAGGGAACATTGCACCGGAGTTTATTCTCGAGCATCTCACACTTCTGATAATCAGTTGTCTGCTTAATGTTTATTCAGCTGTGTAAAAACTATAACTTTAATCTCAGCCAAATCAATTTACTCAGGAGCAAATAAAATACTGAAAAAAGCCAAACAATAACATTGTTAAGTTATCTAAGTGACTTCTATATCATGTTTAACCTGAGTAGCGAAAGACAGCGGTGGGTTTGAAGCCGGGAGTCCGGTGTTCTCACGGCTCTAGTGAGCCTTGAACCTCTGCTAGCTATCGAACTAGTGGGTAACAGACGTCTCTGAAAACGTCGGAGCGCTTTTGAAAATATGTAGTGTCTTGATAAACTGAAATTTGAGGTTTACACAGCTACATTCTCGCCTGAAAATATGTTAAACGTTTATTTTGTGACCCAGAAAGTATAATAAGAGAATAAGAGTAATATTAAAACTAACTAGCTGCCGCCATTGTTGGAAACTGAGCAGGACCGCGCTATGAATTCTGGGACGCAGTTTCTTCTTCTTCGGGGTTTAACGGCAGTTGGCATCCCTGTACATGCAGTGCTGCCATCTTCTGTTTTAGTCCGTTATTACACTCTTAAATCCTACTACTTATTCCTGCGTCTTTTGGGATCTTACAAAGCTTCAAATGACGCGTCGACTATTAAATCAGTCATTGACGATTTTGGTAGTCGACATAATCGTGACTAGTCGACTAATCGTGGCAGCCCTAGCTAATGAGAAGTTAACAAACCTTGGCCATGTCAAGATAAGAACCTTCATTTATAGAACCTTTAGCACCACTCACTTAAAAGATGGAAGTGAGTATATGTATAAATTTGACCCTGAATGGATTAGAAAAAAATCCAAAATACATTAAGCTTGTACACCCAATTCTTGGTTTTTAAAGTCATTAAAGATGCGTGCTGTACAGTCATTACATGCTGGAAAAAGAACAGTTCAAAGAAATACTTAAAAAAAAACCAAAATATCATGAAATTTATGCCCATGATGAGTCTATGAAAACTTGTGACCATAATTGTACATGTGGAGTTTACAGGTTGTAGGGCTAACTTAAGTCAGCTAACTTGGGCTACATCCACGTTGGAAGCCATTTGCTCGGTGTTTGTAGTTTTGAAGCCGAAGCCTGGTTGCTTGTGGACCTCCCCCTAGAGTTCGATTGATTAGGCATCCATCAAATGTAACAACCAGGTCACTCTCCAAACTATGTACAGATGCAAAAAAAACATGGAGTTCATGGCTCTTTCGAAGGCGACCTCAAGTGGCCATTAGAGGAACTACAATTTTTGTCATGTGGCAATCAAAAAATGTACCAGAAAATCCCCGAAGAGTACCAATGCTATAACTCTGGTACCTGTATATAAATGTAATAACATTGTACTGCTTCTAATCTTTTAATTATACAAATATCATTAAGACTAATGTGAGTTAAACGTTAGCTTTCACGTTTTAGTGCCTTTTAAAAGGCTCCAGGCCTCATGTCTAATTATTAGTTATATGAAAGAAGGAGGGGGGGAGGGCGTCCCACCAAACTCCATTTAAAATTTAGCCATATTCTGAACTCACTCATACTTTTGAGTTCAGACACACCCTAAAAAATAATGTTGGTGATGGCTACACTCCTCACCCAAAAAACGGCTTTAATGTAGCCACAGATAATTTCAATACACCCCCCACTTCTCATTATTCTCAGCAGTCCTGGCCGATGCTACGTGGACACTGCTGCAACCCAAAAGTTGGTCTGCGGCTAGCTTAATAACAAGCTCTCGAGGTGCACATTAAAGGCTCGTGGACACAATGTTCTCAACATGTTCGTTTGCTGCTCTGCAAATTCTCGGCATGGATCAGCACTGAATAGCAAAGCAGCAAGCTAGCCGCTAACACTAGCCTAAATGTGCGAATCTCGACCGGCCCACAGCAACTAAACAACACAGTGTGTAGCTGGATCAGCTAATCCGTTTAGCGTCCAGTTGAGTGCCGCTATAACTACAGCCTGGTTGTGAATGCCTTACCTTTAATCGTTTAAGTCTATATTCCTCCGAGTCCGCCATGTTTTAATTATGCTGCAGACGCCGCGCTTCGCACCCAGCCGCCCACCTCCTCTCGGGGTTATGGGTCATGTATGTATGCAGAGGATGCTGCAGTTCACCGAGGAAACGAGCGGACCGACAACAGACGCCGAGGAGTTCACTTCGTAGGGAAAAAACTTGTATATTAGGCTACTTTTAAAGTGAATCCAAAGACTACTACAGAAGAAACAAAAGTACTTTCATAGAAGAGATGTGGGTTAAGATTACCGTAATGACTAGATAAGCGTTCCCTTCCTTTTACTCCTGAAACTGTAAGCATCATAAATGTCAAGTGGCGCTGCACAGTCTTTTCTTATAAGCACGTCTTGAACTTTAGTTTTTAATACTCAAACTCACACATCAAACACTTGCTTTTTAAAAAAGCCGTCTCCATGGCAATTTTTTTATTGCTTCTATTTTGTGGTGATTACGGTAAACCCTGTTTGTAAGTGACTATGAAATGCTGCATTTCTTACTGAAGATAAATGACACGCGTTTGTTTCATCATTCCTGCGCATCCTCCATATTCCTTTCCCCCAGTTTGGTAACACAGTGGATATTTATGTGCATGTGTCAGTATACTGTCAGGTGGGTGACAAATGAAAGAACCTGATCCTTACAGTGCAAATCAGCGCAGAGCTGTTTTGATTGATCACCTATTATTAATGGAGAATCACTCCCAGGATTACATAAACATGATGTGAATGATGTGCCATGGCCTTCAATTTCCAGCTGTCAACCCAGTTTTACATCAATAAGAGATTTCATTATCATCAAAACACCGAAATAAGGAGATATTTGTGGAGGAATGGCGTGAAATCACTCAGATAATTCTCCACAGACTTGGATAGTCAGTCCCCAAAGGAGCACCGAGGCTTATCTGGAGGTGCACACCTTACTATAACAGTTTTCTCCTTAAAGTTGCCCTCTGCAGTTCATCCTTTCAGAGGTCGCATCTCCTGTCCGACAGGGGCGAGCAATTTAAATGTACGACCCTACCGTAAGTATTAGTGTGTTTGCGCAAAATATATATGAAAATATATATATTTACTGCAGTAAAAATAATAACGGTCCTTCCATCTGGTAAAGAACAGCTGAGATTGTTGTGAGTATGATATTTTAAAGTTTGGATGTGGAGTTGTACAGTCTAATAGCCACAAGTAGAAAATATCTCATGCAGTACTCAGTCCTGTTGCTTGGGGCAATGAGCCTTTTGCTGTGTGTAATACGAGGACCAATGACCCGTGGGCTAGAGTGAATTGTTCGTGATGCTGAGGAGATTCTTCAGCATCCTCCGCTCAGACACCTCTACCACCTCAGGTACCACTCTCAGAACTAAACCAGAACCTTCCTAATTGATTTGTCTATGTGTACTTCTAGATTTTAACCTCCATCAGTGATACAGCCAACAACAGCAGAGCTGTCTAGAAATCTCTGTAGGTGGCACAAGTCTGACCTGTACCTTGAGTCTGAGGTGAAGAAGGTGAAGAGAAAAGGTGATTAGACAATTATCAGTGGTGCTCCTGTGCTGTTCAGTATGCTGCCTGAGCATACTGATGCAATCTTATTATACAAATGCATTTTTAAAGCGGTATTTATCAGGAAAACTAATAAATTAAATAACTGTAATAAATTAAATGAAAAAGAAAAGTGAGCAGGGACAATGTTGTTTTTGTAGCTATAACTCATGGCAAAGCCTGTAAACTTTCAAAGCATTTTAATAATTAGATCTAGCTTTTATGTCCTGGTGAGCCCCAATAAGTATCTAGAAGTTTTATTTAAAATTTTGATTTGATTATGATTTTCACTGTTGATAATTTCTGTATTTTTAAAAGGCCAGTTCTACTATTGTTAATGTCTGGCTCATGTTGCTGTTGTCGGTAGTGTCAGGTGTCTCTTCTGTGAAGTAAATTGCGAGCAAAAAGACACGGACCAATTCTTTGTGAGCACATGCTTGGTCAATAAACGTGATTCCGATTAAGAAAAATACTGTATAAAGTTCATGCGCATTTATTACAGCAGTTTCGGTATACGTTGCATAGAAATATGTGAACTAGATCAGACTCAATGCTGTCGTTTAATGGAGGTTTTCTCTGCTTGGCTGCACTTCTATGTGCGAACTTTCACCGGGGGTCAAACGGTGATCTGAACGTTTTCCGGAAGCCGTGCAGAGAGAGCTTCAGGTCGACGTTTGTTGTTGTTGTTGTGGATTGCTTTGGATCCGCTCACCAGCTGTCTGGGAGTAGGGTCAGCGGAGAAACGAGCAGGCTGAAGTCATTTTCCCCGTCGGATGAATGGCAGTCACGGCGGTGAGAGCGGCGGCAGCCGCGGGAGGTCCAGCGTCTTTGTCCCGCTTCAGGGGAGCGCTGGTCGCGGGTGTGCTAGGAGACTGTATCGGAGGAGAGTTTGAAGGGGCGGAGGAGGTTCCCATGGAGAGTGTGCTGCAGCACCTCAGCAGCCTGGACGACGAAACTAAAGGAACAGGTCAGTGAGAGGAGGAGGTGGTTTCATAACAAGCCCACTGCACCGTGAAGCAAAGCTGACATGCAGAGCAGCTTAAAGGGATCAAAATGGTTTGAAATTACTAAAGAAAGAAAGAAAGGAATAAAAAAGATCACGTCTGAAACCGGCAGGGGTCTCTCCAAGGGGGGGATGGGGAGGCACTAGCCCCCTGAAATGAAAGTTGCTCTATAAGACACATTTCCTCTTACATTGTTTTACCATGTTTCGTGTATGATTATGGTTCATAAAACAAATACAACCTATTCTGGCTGACTTGTCAACCAATGAGCATTCAACTGATAAATAGGTCATCTGTGTTTACCAATGTGCAGTTGGAATTTTGGAGGACTGCATGAGGGCATGTTTGGGGAAGCTGTCCATGTAGAAATCTGTATGGAAACTCGCATACCCAATACTGTAAAATATGCATAAGGTACCACCAGAAGCAAGAGCCATTTCCCGCAACCTTCTATAGAATAAGAAGTCTTTTGGAAACTCCAGCCACTCCAGTGGCTGTTAAATAGAGTGCAGGGTTAAGGCTGGGTTAAGGTTTAGACATGGAACCTAATCTTTGTGCAGACAGATAGGTGGTTAACTGTCAAATGAATTAGCTTGCTATCCTATCTGCTGCTTCACCATTTCATCTGTCATTACTGTGAAGATAAGGTGAAGAATGAGACTTTGAGATATTCCTCAAGCTTCTGAAACCAATAATGCATAGCTGAATTATAACAATTTTCACAAAAATCAGATCGGGACTGGCTGGGATGAGCTGGGAACAAACAAACTACAAAAATAATAAAAAAAAATTACAAATTACAGGGTGTAAATTGTGCCGGCTAAATAGTTACTTAAAATAACTTCAATGTTATACCGTGTAACATTCAGATGAATATGCTGCAGTTAGATTGGAAAAGAACACTTTAAATACCCCAGCTCCCTTCAGAAAAAGGCCTAAATGTTGGCAGACATGACTTTAAGTAATTAAGTAATCTATATTTCCAGCAACAAGTGATATACACATTAATGAATCTATAATTATGATCCAGTAATATTAGATAATCAGGATCATGATGTCCACTGGATTATTTATCCTGCAGAAACTGGGGCTATTACTTTTTCTCATCGTCTGTTTACAGGCACAAAAAACTTTACTACTTGATTAACGGGCTCAGCGTAGAGCGCTGAGTCCATCGACGTCTCTGCTCATGTTATCAGATCTCAGAACAAATGCTGTGTAAAGCCCCACTGACTGAGCCTTGTGATTCCTGTTTAGGCTGTTGATTGTCTCTTTAGGGAAGGAAGTGAGATGAGACCATGTTTTGCATTAAGGTATTCCCCTCAATTTCTCTTTGTTGTAGTCAGGATTCTTTGAGAAAGTAGCAAAAATACATCCACACTGTATTTCTATAAATATGCTCGGTTATAGTTCATTTAAATCTTATATGAGTAACAGGGGAAAGTAAATTAAACTATTAATTTTTTCCTGTGTAAACAATCACCATCTGTAGATATGTTCATTTTATTATCCGCAAATTATAT